TTTTCCTAAAAACACATAGACTTTTAAAGGTGACATATATATCTGTATTAGCATAAGTATGGAAAGTGCTGTGTGTACAAGTCAACTGAAGATGTTTTTTTGTTCTCAATGTTTAAGCAGGTAAAAGGCATCTATCAACTTTATAAGTCTGTGTGGACTGTATAACCAAGCCTCTATCCATGCCATATGGAAGGATAGCATGTAACAATAAGTCATGAGGTCTCTGTAACCAACAAGATTTATCATGTCTCATCCAGTCTCAGAGCTGTTCCCATAGGAGAAGGATCAGCTTAAACATCACCTGTGCTGTAATCTTTCTTGGTTTCTTTTCGCGTGTCTGTAGTCAAGATTTTCAGGAGGTCTCCCCCAGTTAAAACTGATCTTCATTAATTTTGAAAAGAATCATAGCTTTTTGTTTCCTATGGAAACAAAGACATAATCTGTCCCCCAACGCAACATATTTTCTGACTTCCATTCTGAAGTAAAGACATTCTTAAAATATAAGTTGGTTTAATTTAGCAGTTTCCATAACCCAGTGTCTTTCAGCAGCTGTTGTTTTTTGTACATCAGCATTTAAAAAATTCAAAGTCAAGCTGGGCAGTGGTGGTGCACACCTTTAATCCCAGCACTCGGGAGGCAGAGGCAGGTGGACCTCTGTGAGTTCCAGACCAGCCTAGTCTACCAGAGCTAGTTTCAGGACAACCTCCAAAGCCACAGAGAAAACCCTGTCTCAAAAAAAAAAAAAAAAAATTCAAAGTCATGCCTGGATAGATGGCTCAGTGGTTAAGAACACTGGCTACTCTTCCAGAGGACCAGGGTTCAAGTCCCAGCACCCACATGGCAGCTCACAACTGTCTGTAACTCCAGTTCCAAGGATCTGACACCTTTACACTAATGTTCATAAAATAAAACACTCAGGAGGCAGAGGTAGGCAGATCTCTGTGAGCTCAAGACCAGACTGATCTACAGAGTGAGTTCCCAGGACAGGCTCCAAAGCTACACAGAGAAGCCCTCTCTCAAAAAGCAAACCAAAAAAAAAAAAAAAAATTAAAGTCAACAAAATACCATACAGGACCCAGATGCCCTGTGTATTTCTCATCATGTGGCTTATTCCTTTTATATTACTTTACTGTCTCTTTAAAGACTTATTATTTTTTTGTTTTGCTTTTTGGTTTTTTGAGGTGGGATTTCTCTGTGGCTTTAGAGGCTGTCCTGGAGCTACCTCTTGTAGACCAGGCTGGTCTGGAACTCACAAAGATCCTCCTGCCTCTGCCTCTCAAGTGCTGGAATTAAAGGCGTGCACCACCACCGCCCAGTGACTTTATTATTTTTAAACTACTTTTTTATGACTGTGTACATACATTTTCTTTTTTATTTTATTAAATAGGATTTTAAAATCCTATTTAAACATACTGCATCTGTTAAGAGGTTTTCTTGGCCTGGGCCTGCCTTTTGTGTATCTGTAGCCTCCTCTGACTGCATGGACAAATCTTAAACTGTTATACTACCATTTTATGGCTCCTCTTTAGTGCATTAGCTGGTGGCTGGCTCCCTGTCCCCCACCCCCACCCCAGTGATCAGCGCCTAACTATCCCAACTCTGAGAATCTGCTGAGTCTAAGATGCAAAAGGCATTTTTCACCTAGCATAGCGGCTGCTCAAGTGCCTCTTAAAAGAGCCATGGCCCTGTAAGCTGAGCCTACCCAGGAGAAGCTGCATTCGACTTTGTGTTCTGAACTTTTTTCCTTTTTTTTTAAATCTTTCTCAGGCCTTATGTAGATAATATGTGGTCCCACATTGGGTGCCACCACCACCCTGTGGCCATTTAGCCTTTTATTAGACCAATCACAGCAATACAGCTTCACATAATGTACAAATATTCTGCAATACTAGATGTCTCCTGGTAATGGTGGTAGTGGTTCTCGTATTTACCATCTTCCCTCTGAAAATGTCACAATACTGTGCAGATGCTGAATTTTTAAAAAATAGTTTATTATTTTGCCTGCATGTATGTCTGTGTAAGGATGTTGGATCCCCTAGAACTAGAATTACAGTTGTGAGCTTCTTTGTGGGTACTAGGAATTGGACCAGGTCCTCTGGAAAAGCAGCCAGTGCTCCTAACTGCTAAGCCATGTCTCCAGCCCCATATGCTGGCTTTAATATGACTTCTTTCCTACTCTTCTGCCTTTGTTTTTTTGTTTGTTTGGTTGGTTTGGTTTTTTTGCTTTGATGCAGGGTCTCATGTAACCCAGATGGGCCTCAAATGCACTATGTAGCAGAGGCTGGCCTTGAATCCCTGACCCTCCTGTCCTTACTTCTACCTCCTAAGTCCTGGGACTACAGGCATGAACCACCGCGTCTAGCTTTTTATTATGTCTTTTCAACCCTTCTAGGAAAGCAAATTGTTGATGTATAAGAAGAGGCCAGTTGATACATCCCTTGTAAGATTACTTTATGAGTTTAAAACAATGTGGCAGAGACTCAGACTCCAGGTCGTTAAGGTAGGCAGTGGTGTCATCAGTGACAGGGGAAGAAGTTGACTATGGAACTGTCAGCTCTCTCCTAAACTGCTGAGTTCAGGCTGGAAGAATGGGAATCGAGGGGCCCTGGATTCCTGGTGCTTTGTGGCCTTACTAGGTGAGGTCATGGAAATTAGCCACTGCTACATGTAGAATAGCAGTCACAGGATATAATTCAGGGTAGAATGCTTGCCTAGCAGGCATGAGGCCCTGGGTTCATTACCCAGCACTGCCAAATATGTAAATAAATCACAATAGCAGTTATAGATTCCGGCAGTGAGTAAAGGGCCCTTATGGATTTTGCTGTCCAGAAAAAGAAGGGCTGGAAAATATCTGGCACTCACAAGGTAAGGTAGCTTTTCTTGAGAAGTCTGGCATCCCTTCCCAAGGAGGAGAGGGCTCTGTCACAGCCACACTTCGTTTCCTCAGACAGTTCTAAAGTGACATATCGCCAGCTAACACGTTCTTTGCTCCTTCTCCCTTTGGCAGCATCAAGCTGTCTGAAAGTCTGTTTCTCTGCAGCAGCCCATGGCTGCCTGACTCTTTGTGAATATCTGAAAACATGCCCACCCATGCTTGCTTCCGGTGCCTGCTCTCAGGCTGGTACGAACCAAGACACCCACTCACATATTGGCGCAGGTCCAGTATACACCCAGATGTGCAAACCCTAACCTCACCCATTCTCTGGTCCTAATAAATGCTAAAATCCAAAAGAAAGGCTGAGCCCAGCCCCAGCCAGCTTCCCCACTACCAACTTTGGCTTGTTGGTACCAACTTCCCAGGGATGTAGGTAAGAGATCTCTTTCCCCTCTGTGAAATGCCAGGGCCAAGAAGTGAAGAAAAGGTAAACTTCCTGAAGCTGCTTAGAGGTGCCTGACAGTGCCCAGCACCAGAGCAACTATACTAGAGCCTGTAACTTTGCAGCAGTGTCATTGTCGCCCTCAGCATCCACAGCTGCTGAGGGCCCACTGCTTTCAGGGACTCTAAGCAGGTTCCTAAGAGTGGAGAAGTCAGGGCAGGGTCTGCAGCAGCAGTGTTGGTAGAGTCCGTGCAGCAGAGGGCAGCTTTACCTGAAATCTACTTAACAGACCTGAAGTGGCTAACGTACATTTGGTCTGAAAGAGAATCATTTAGCAATCTAGGAAGTTTTCAGGACTGTCCATTCATGCCTGTACCATCTTTGCTAGGAGCAGCAAAGATGTGACTCTGGTCTTCAGGGAAGGGATTTCTTCACCCACCCCCAACCACCATCCTCAGCTCTGCTTGAGTACATCTGCCCCATCACTGGAGGGACTGGCCGTGTGGGCCTGTTCACAAATAACTTGTTAGATGCAACATAAAAAACAGGCTCTGGCAGGGCGTTGGTGGTGCACGTCTTTAATCCCAGCATTCAGGAGGCAGAGGCAGGTGGATCTCTGAGTTCAAGGGCAGCCTGGTCTACAGAGCAAGTTCCAGGACAGGCTCCAAAACTACACAGGGAAACCCTGTCTCAAAAAACAAACAAACAAACAAACAACAAAAAAAAACAGGTTTTGGTGGGGTGTGTAGGTATTAGCAATGTTCTGATTTTTGTCTCACTTGCTGAGTCCCCCATGAGTTACTGTGTGGTTCTTTTAGTGGGTAGCACCATTGATCATTAGCGGGTCAGAGGTAGGACTTCTTGCTCTGTAGAGGTCCCAGAATGCTGAAGCTGGAGACCTCATCTGAATGTCAAGCATATAGGAGGCAGTCACCCAGTGACCACCCACTCAGTGGTGTATTCTCCCCATGATCTTGTGTAGCCCATATCCACACCAGGTCAGGCCGGCCTGTGTGACTGTCAGAAGTCAGTAAGAGCAATGGGATGTCATTTCAAGATTGGGTCTAAAGGCTACAGCTGCCATAGGTATACTTCCCTCCAGCTCTGGGGAAGGGACTCCTGTCACTATGTTGAGAAGCCCCATGTGGCAAGGAACCAGGAACTTCCCAATCCGGGGTTGCATGGATGAGCTGAGAGACAGGTTCCCAGCTTGGGCAAGCCTGACACTAAAGTGGCTTCACCCAGCATCTTGAAAATGACACACCCCCATCAGCTGACTGCCCCTGGATTCTTGACTTTCAGAATCCCAGTGGCATAATAAATGGGTTTTATGTGTTTATTTTGTTGTTTTTGAGACAGAGTTTCTCTGTGTAGCCCTGACTATTCCGGAACTCACTTTGTAGACTAGGTTGGCCTTGAACTCAGAGATCCACCTGCCTCTGCCTCCCAAGTGCTGGGATTAAAGGCGTGCACCACCACCACCACCCAGCCACAATAAATGTTTTTAAGCCTCTACTTGGGGAAAGGGGAAGTTCTATCTGTCTTAGCCCATGATGACAGGACACACATCAACAGTGGCCTTGAACAGTGGGTCCTCTGTGCATTCTTTGCTCCACTGGCTCTGCCCTTTCTCCTTGTGCATCTCCTGTCATGTATACTGATACTACTTCTGTTCTGTGTCAGAGTGCTTGAGAGTGAGGCCAGCGTGGGCAGGGGGGAGACACACAGTTCTCCCCAGGAAGTGGCCTTGAACATTAAGCTGAGCTACATCTACAAGGTGAGCAAAACTTTCTTTTCTTGCATCTCCCCCAAGTGTTGGGGTGAACCCAGACCTACTCCGCAGTTTAGTTGGGTAGCATCACCAGGTGCCTACAGTGAACCAGCTCAGCACCACTATAGGCTCAATGGTGGCCCTGGTACCCAGGCTGCAGAAAGCCTGCAGTCTACTTCTAACTGCCAGTATGGCCAAAGTGGTTCACAGAACAGGTACCCCACTGGTCACTAGGGAACTGGTCCCACAGTCCATTCCCTCACTTTGTGTCCCCTTGGCTCTTCCCTCATTCCATGTCCCCCTGGCCCATCCCTACTTCTCTTTCCTTCCAGTTCCTGATCCTGTGTTTCCTAGTCCAGCCAAAGTCCTACACCGATGCCAGCATCTTGGGCCTGATGGAGCTGCTGTGCCGTGCAGGCCTGGATGTGGGGTTGCGCCTGCTGCCTAAGACTGACCTCCAGCAACTCCTGCTCCTACTGCTGGAAAACATCCAAGAGTGGCCTGGAAAGGTACCACAGCCTGGGCTCTGCCACTGGGGACTGCCTCGCCTTTAGTGCACCCTAGATGGGGAAGGCAGCACTTGCAGCTTCTTCAGGAGTCCCCGGCCCTCATGATCTGGGGAGCAGGGCAGAGGTGAAGACAGCTTCCTACAGCAGCCCACAGGGTCAGGGTGCCTCTGTCCCCACAGCTCCAGCCGCTGTGCAGCGCCCTCAGCTGGGTTTCAGACCACCACCACAACCTGTTGGTCCTCGTGCAGTTCTTTCTGGACGTGACTCCCCGGGCCAGGTGGGTACCCCTCAACCTCTCTGCCTCCTTTCCTGATGCTCATCCCCATGGGGTTCTTTGAGGGCCTAGAATCTTCCTACCAGTCCCAACAAACAAATGCCTGCCTAGTTTCCAACCTCTCAGAGGAAGAACTAAAAATAGAATTCACTAATGAGTTCTTTACAAATGAAAAAAGCCTAATTTTCTTAACATGGTCTTATTAGCAAAACACTGTCTTATGCAATTAGCCTCTGCCTGCAGTGCCCGCCTCCTTCTTTGGGGCCCTTTTCTGCCTGCAGTGCCCGCCTCCTTCTCTGGGGCTCCCCCCTTGCCTTTGGTTGCCGGGTTTTTTTGTCACTCAGACATCTTTCCTCTTCCCACCACCCACCCCTACTCCTAATTCATCACCATTTTATTTTCTGCACAGCATTTCTCTGCCAGAAATTATCTTACTAGTTATTTCCCTTTTTGGACTCCCTCTTCCCTCCAAGTCACTTCCAGGGCAGGTGCCTTGTCAGGATCACTGCAATATCCCCCAATCCCAGCCTGTGCCTGGCAGACTGCTGGTGTTTTGTGAGATTCTTTTGAAATGATGAATGAAGTGAACAAACAAACCCATCCAGGAGATAGGACCTATTGGCTGGACTTGGCCTTGTCTCCTCTGTCTCCGCATTCCTTCTCCTGCCCCCTCTCATAGCCACAGGGAGTGCCCTGGCACAGACCCTGCCCCCTTCCCAGCCCTGTCCTGAATAGGCACTTGACAGTTGTCCTTTGTGGATGCTCCCCTCTGACCTCCCTCCTCACACCCCAGGGCCCATGAGGCCAGTGTACTTGGACTGACTTGGTGGGTCAGACATAGCCGCACTGGGTTCAGCTTCAGGCTCTTCTGACACGGCAGCTCTGTCCATACCTCAGGATGTACCTGTCCACTCAGCCCAGACCCCTGAGATTTCAGCCATCCCTCACAGCACATGTGCTCCAGAGAGCAGGCTGGAGATGGTTGGTTTCCCCTTCACGCCTGTCACACTCACACCTGTGCTTGCTGCCTTCAGAATTGTAAGTCCTCATCTTTAGCTGCATCTTTGTATCAACCTCAAGACAGCCATTGTGCTGTCTGGGTCATTTTAAAGCAGTCATGCCCCACACCTCACCCACCAACCACCATTTGATCTCCCCATAATAACTGGAAGATAGCAGAGGCAGCCTTAGCTGTTCCTCTCAGCCTGACACCAGCAAAAAACAGATGGACCAATCTCTAATACTGCTAGCCAGTTATGAAAACATGCCCACCATACACTCACTAATGCTGTATAGTCTCGATTTCAATTTTAAGTTTTAATCAATCTGATGAGTAGAAAATGGCACCCCATGTTTTCACTTTCACCTCCCTGATCCCCAATGAAGCTGAGCAGCTTTTCAACCCTGCTGGCTGTGGTGTCCCCTTACTGTGAATGACCTGGTATTCCTAATCTTCTTAACTACATTGACTTATCATATTTGTTACAGTGTATTTTCTCCTAAGGTTATAAATTGTCCCATTTTTTGAAAGTTGTTTTTTAATTTATTAAAATTTTAGTTTTACTGGGTGGTGGTGATGCACACCTTTAGTCACATCACTTGGGAGGCAGAAGCAGGAGGATCTCTGTGAGTTCAAATCCAGCCTGGTCTACAAAGCAAATTCCAGGACAGAACACTGCCTGGGACTTCTGTATAATGTAGTCTTTGCATCTTGAATAGGAACGCCTTACCTAAAACCACACACACATAGAAGATCTGATTTCAACTAGGCGTTGGTGGCCCACACACCTTTAATCTCAGCATTCTGGAGGCAGAGACAGGCAGATCTCTGTGAGTTTGAGGCCATCCTGGTCTGAAAAGTGAGTTCCAGGACAGCCAGAGCTGTTACACAGAAAAATCCTGTCTTGAAGAAGAAGAAGGAGGAGGAAGAGGAGGAGGAGGAGGAGGAGGTACTGACTATTCTTAGGCCTATGACAAGTGTCTCTTGAATGACCTTGAGTACAGTGGGACGTCCTCCACCTGCATTTCAGACAGATGTGACAGCAGTGTGCCCCAGGCCACAAGTTTTGCTGGGGAAAAAGGTTCCTCATTTAGATGTGTGTTATTTATTTAGATTAGCTGGCCATGGTGACAGACCTGTAATCCCAACTCTCAAGAGGCTAAGGCAAGAAGATCTTGAGTTCAAGGCAAACTCAGCCTACACAGTGAGATCGTGCCCACTCCCCTCTCCCCCACACACACCAAAAAGGACAGGCATGGTGACCTATAATCTGAGTACTGGAGAGGTTGAGACCAGAGGACTCCTGAATTGGAAACAGCATGAGCTACATAATGAATTCCAGGCCAATCTATACTATAATGAGAGACTGTCGGAGAGGAGGCAGAGGAGGGGAGAAGAGGAGGAGGAGAGGGGAGGGGAGGGAGGCTGAATAAAGAGATGGTTCAGCAGGTAGTGTCTTGCTGTACAGTCATGAGAATCTGAATTTGGATGCCCAGCACTCATGTAAAGTCAGATTTGTAATCTCTGCTCTGGGAGGCAGAGGCAGGAGAGTCTCGGGTGTTTTCCCAGTCAGCCTAGCTGGCCCAACTGTCAGAGACTGTCCTGGTTAGGCTAGAGTCACCTGGGAAAAGGAACCTAGTTGAGAAAATGCCCGAATCAGATTGGCCTGTAGGCAGGTCTGTAATGCATTTTCTTAATTGATGGCTTATGTGGGTGCACCCAGTGCACTGTGGCGGTGCCACCCCCGGGCAGGTGGGCCTGGGTAGTATACGGAAGCCTGCTGAGCAAACCTGGACGGTGAGCGGTGCGCGGTGAGCGGTGCTCCTCCATGGTCTCCGCTTCACTTCTTGCTTCCAGGGTCCTACCCAAGCTCCTGCCATGACTGCCCTTACGATGGATATGATGTGGAAGCTGAAACACCTTTTCTTCCCCAAGTTGCTTTGTCCATGGTCTTTATATTTATCACAGCAACAGAAACCCAACTAGAACAGAGAATTTTTCTCAAAATATAAGGCAAAGTGGAATTGAGGAAGATAGATATCCAGAGTTGATCTCTGGACTTCATGTGTGTATGTGGGCACATGTGCACATGCACAATAATACTAATACATTTTTAGAAGTTTATTTTCCTTTTTCTGTTTGTTTGTTTCTTGAGACAGGGTTTCTCTGTAGCTTTGGAGCCTGTCCTGGAACTCACTCTGTAGACCAGACTGGCCTCGAACTCACAGAGATCTGCCTGCCTCTGCCTGCCTCTGCCTCCCGAGTGCTGGGATTAAAGGCATGCGCCACCACTGCCAGGCTTTTGCTTGTTTTCTAAATAGAGCATTCAAGCAGTACCAAGAATAGAGTGGATAGGAGTTGCACGACCCTGACACCTGCCATCTCTAGTCTCGGTGCCTGTGTGTGCGCACAAGCTCCCTGAAGGTTCTTTTCGCTTTGAGGTATGTTTTGGCAATCCTTCCAAATTGCCTCATAAAGAGCTTCTAATTCTTTTTCACGTCTTGCTGTGGGTCTTTAGTTAGAGCTGCAGCAATGGTGGTAACACAGGAGCTTGCTGGCTGCCTGGCTCTGCCCTTGTTGGGGGCAGCCCCATTGGGCTCAGTGCCCAGACTGACCCCAGGAAGAAGGGTTGTTGTGCAAGAAGCTGTCACACTCTGAATCTGCTTGACTGGTTAAGTACAAAGCAAGAACTCCCACTGACGCCCATGCCCATGAATGTGTGTGGTGCATTTGCACTCCTGCCTTGATCAAGACTTCAGGGGATGCACCACAGTGTGCAGAACTGCCTCCTTAACCATGAGAAATGACGACAAATTGTAAAGCCAGCCACCTGAAGTGGGGCCAATGGGAAGAGGGAGTTCTTGAAGGGAAATCAGCGTGGGGAAGGTGACTCCACTTGGATGGGACACAGAGCTGTTGGGAAGAACAGCACGCTATTCTGCCTTCAGCTAGGGTCTCTAGTATGTGCTCATGTGTGGAAATAACCCGTGCTGCCACCGGAAAGAGCCCCATCAGGAAGGTGAAGGGAGTCATGGACTGTGCTTCTCTGATGAACACCAGTGTCCCAGGCTCCAGGGACCACCTGTAACTATTAAACATCCTAGGCACGTGGCTATCCTGTGGCCTTCAGAGGAGAGTAAAAGACCAGACCCACTTAGCGCCCAGTCAAATGGAGGTATGCATGGAGGCTTACTGAAACATGTCACAAAACCCACCCTGACAGTCACCCAGAGCTCTTCCCCTGGTAGACCAGCACAGAACTGAAAGACCATGTCTCCTGTGTTGACAAGATGTGAGGAGAAGCTTTCAGCTTCACAGTGTGCACGTTTGTTTGCTCCATACCTCCTCAGGAAGGCCATGTGGCAGAATCAAGTAGACCCTCCTTCCAGGACACTATCAATTTCCTCCTTTGCTGAAAATGCTTTCAGAGTGGGCGTGGGAGCACTGGATAGATGGCCAGACAGTGAAGGCCACTTGATGCCCTTAGAGGGGCCTAGGTTTGGTGCCCCAGCACCCACATGGCAGCTCACGGCCATCTGTAACTCCAGCGTCAGTATTTTAGTCTTCTGACCTCTAAGAACTAAGCACACACGTGTGTTCCAGGCCTTTGGGCTTACTCTTCCACACCACCTCTCCCAAACTCTGTGCTCCCCTCCAGCCCCCACCCTGTGCACTCCCACATATCTGCCATATCCTAAAAGTTTGCAGCCGTCTGAACTCAGGCTGAGCATCTACTTCAAAGTTTCCCGGAGATGCTGCCTTCCCCGTCCTCTTCACCTGACTGACTAGGCTCAGGCGACATCCCTCACCCAGGGATGGTGCGGGTGGAAGGTGTTACTGGTTAGCTGGCTTTGTTGAGCCTTGAGTTAAGAGAGTGAGAATGAGCGCAGGTGGCCGTGCTCCTGAGGCTGGGTAAGCACCTAGTGATGAGGCACACAGAAGTAAGGGGTGTTGAGCCTCAGATTCTAGAGACAAGGTGGCTCTGGCGGCTGGGCTGGGAGAC